AGACAGACAGACAGACAGACAGACAGACAAGGATCTTCCATTAAATGAGGATTACCAAACAAACAAATGCAAGACACCATCTCAAGAGAGAAAAGCACCCTAGTTTCAGGCTTAAAAGGAATCCAAAAATATATCCATTGATAAAACTTTGCCAGCTTTGTCCCCGCCTTACTTGGTAGTCAGGCTGCGGTCTTTTCGGAGGCTCTCAGCCCCAGGTTTGTCCCGCTCTGCCTCCGCCTTCTTGGAGGATGCTTTCTGAGTTCTCTTATTCCGGGCTTTGCTGATGGTGGCAGCGCAGTGCTTGGGCAAGAGCTGGGTGGATGGCATGAGAGGTGCAAGATGTGTTAGTACTGTACTTTTGTGTCCATGTGGATCACTTAACTACAAGGGGAGCGGGGTAGGTGACACATTGGGAAGGGGGGGAAATCATCATCCCAAGGACAAGGTTTGCTTCCAGCAGCCTTTTGTGGAAAATGAGAGTTAAAGAAATGACCTTAGCCATGGATACCAAGGAATCAAGCGGACGGGTTTCAGGCCCCCTTCCCACCTATGCCTGAGCCCCACACGCTCTGCAACCTGCATATTAGATTTTTGAATGCATTCTGTGAATGCTGAGAAGGATCCGTTTTGTCATGCTCCAACAGCTACTTGAAAGAGGAAGAAAAAACAATTTCATGCTATGCAGTTAAGCAGTTTGGAAATGTCAAAATTTTTGAACTGCGTCTCCTAGACAGAATGAAAATCTGGGAACTCCAGTCCCCATAAGTAATTTTTTCCAAACTCTGCATTCATTCTAACGTGCGTGTACAAGGACCAGGTAGCTTTCCCCCCTTCCTTGTCAGACTATGGAAGGGACCTGGAATAGCTAACCAGAGCCCCATGTACAGTGAACATCCCCATAAATAGACTGCAAACTGAGGACACCTCCCTCCAAACACCAGGCACTGCTTTTCATTTAATGTGCAGACTAAATTTTAACCCAGCTAGATTTCTGTGTGCCTCTGGCCTCAGACTAAATGGAACCACTTCTGGCCTGAGTCTGCAGGTCCTTTTTTGAAACTTGCATTTTTATTTTATTTTATTAAAATAAATACATATTTTATTTTATTAAAATTGAAAAAAAATGAACCAAGCCTCCACATCTGGTCATGATTTGGGGAACTTCTATGCTTCTTCTGAACCCCTCCCAGCCCTGTGGTGCCCAGCCTGAAGAAGACTGTGTGGGGCCAAAGGTAAGCTTATGTTCATGATATCTTTAGTGGTCTAACAAAGGTAGAATTTCAGGTGAACAGCTCAGCAGTTTAGGTAACCGGCTGCAGAGCCAGAGGCTGGGAGTTTGATTCCTCACTGTTCCTCCTGGGAGACAAGCGGGCCTTTCTGGCCTTGGGCAAAATGCACAATCCCGGGGCTTCCCCATAAGAAGGGAAGGGTAAGCCACACCCGAGTACTTTGTACCTAGAAGATACTAAAAAGGGGGCTTGCCATAAGTCAGAATTGACTTGATGGCACGTGATAATTATTGTTAACAAAGGTATTGCCCCACCTTGCCTTTGGATATACTGCATAGTCTCTCAACTCTCAACATCTCTCCAATGCCCATTCCCCATTACAAAGGCACTGGTTTCTCACCGGCTCACTCAGGTTACACTGTTCGGCACAGATATCCAGGATGCACGTACACGCCTGTTTGGCCATCTCTTCTAGGAAGTTGTTGCAAAGGCCCAAGGCGCAGCTTCGCAGATGAGGATACTGGAATGGAAGGAAGAAGAAAGTCCTGAGATCCCAAGGAGGCTCAGATCACATCCCACCTTTGCCTCTGGGCTCACCTCCCTCTGAGGCGATGGGCAACCTACACTTTCATGGGTGTAAGACAGGATCGGGGTGTTGGGGGCAGGGGACTAGTGGAAATGGTGGCTGTGTCTTGCTGACCGATGCAAGCCTCCAGGGAGTCCATGTTCCCCCTGCATTCACACATGGACACAGGTTGAATCCAACAGGATCTGCTCTTGAGTAAGGAAGTGGAACTCAGAAATATTACTTTCAGGGACCAAAGGTTATAGAATCCCCAAGTGGAGCTATAGGCCAAAAAGCTACAATTTGCAAGTATTATATGGAAGCCTAGGGTTTGGGGCCTAATAGCACAATCCTATGTATATTTGCTCAAAAGCAAAGTGTTCTCCTGGGATAAAATTCCACAGGATAATAAAGCAATTAGTGGGAGATCACCCTTAACCTTTCTAATGGCATTATTTATGGCGGACAGGAAATTGAACACTTGGATAGTAATTTTAAATCCTTAGTTTTAAAAGATTGTCAACACATCTGCTACACGCATAGTCTGTTACAGTTTCAAAGTACCGTAGGATCCCTGTATCAACAGATGCTGAAAGATGCAAATTAAAGCAAATGCAATTTAGTTACTGAGCTTGCATTATCTTGGTCCAGGATTTTAGGATTTATTGTTTTTGTTTTTTCCCAGTGCAGACTACACATCATACCCTGGAGGGAAAGGAAGAAAAATCACATCGCCTGGTAAGAAAATCCCCAGCCATTTTAATGTTCAGGGCGATTCCTTTTGTGGTTCGTTACAGATGTTTCTCCACCTTTTCCCTAAAGGTAAAGGTAAAGGTTCCCCTTGACAATTTTTGTCCAGTCGTGTTCGACTCTAGGGGGTGATGCTCATCCCCATTTCCAAGCCATAGAGCCAGCATTTGTCCGAAGACAATCTTCCGTGGTCACATGGCCAGTGCGACTTAGACACGGAACGCTGTTACCTTCCCACCGAGATGGTCCCTATTTATCTATTTGCATTTGCATGCTTTCGAACCGCTAGGTTGGCGGGAGCTGGGACAAGCGACGGGCGCTCACTCTGTTGCGTGGATTCGATCTTACGACTGCTTGGTCTTCTGACCCTGCAGCACAGGCTTCTGCGGTTTAGCCCGCAGCGCCACCACGTCCCTACGCGCCACCACATCCCTACCTCTTGGTTAAAGGCATACATACCTCCTCAGGGCACAAAGGATGTACAGCATGGCTGAAGCTAGCACACAAGAGTGGGAAGCCAATGGTATAGCGCAACATGGATGGCTCCTCCATGGTTAATGCAAAGAGCTTCTCCAAGTGGCGCACGTAGAAACTGTCAAACGAATGGAGACAATCGCTAATAAGAGCAAACAACTTGCAAGCACATGCTTCTATATGCTGCTACATGTCAGCAGGAATCTATGACCGTCAGGATATTTTGTCTTACGTCTCCCATCACACCCATCATGAGTCGGTCATGAGCCACCTTTTTGGCACTTCTGTTTATTTCATGGATATTTAAAAGCAAAGCAAAAGCAAAGTGTGCTTCTTATATACCGCCCCATAGTGCTTCAAGCACTCTCTGGGCAGTTTACAAGTTAATTATGCAGGCTACACATTGCCCCCCCCCCCCGCAAGCTGGGTACTCATTTTACTGACCTCGGAAGGATAGAAGGCTAAGTCAACCTTGAACCGCTACCTGGGATTGAACCCCGGGTCGTGAGCACAGTTTTGGCTGCAGTACAGCAGTTTAACCACTGCGCCACCAGGCTCTTACACTGTCCTTCAGGATAAATTAGCTCCCCAAGGTGAATAACAGCAGGACCCCCATATCCGTGGGGGATCCATTCCAAATCCCCCTCACAGATGCTGAAAAATGCAGATTATAACAAATTCTATTTTAATAGTGGATACTATACATAGCAGGCTCTCTGACTCCCTCTAATGCCCAATTCTGATAATATTACCATAGAAATATATTTCTCTAGCAAGCACTATACAGTGATGCCTCGCAAGACAAATGCCTCACAGGACAAAAAAATCGCAAGACAAATGGTTTTGGCAATGAGGTTGATAACTCGCAAGACAAATGTTCCTACGGCCGTGCTTTGCGAGACGAATGTTTTCCGTTTTTTTCTTCCTGCCTCATGTTTGCTGATTTTTAAATGTTTTTCTATGATGTTTAAAAAGTTAAAGTTTTTTGACTGAAAATTTTTAAATCATCTGCACAATATGTATGGCTTTAAAGAGCACTTAATAAACCCTTTGTAAACCAAATGTGACTTTGTTCTGACTCTTTTTTGCCCATAGGAACGCATTAATAAGATTTCAATGCATTCATATGGGGAAATGCAGTTTGCAAGATGAATTTTTTACAAGACAACATTAACCGCGGAACGAATTAAATTTGTATTGTGAGGCACCACTGTACTGTACATGGCATTGTTTCTGCCCACCTCTAGTGGGCAGCTCTGGTAATTTCATCTTTAAAAGTACAGTAGGACCATCTTATCTGTTGGATCAATATCCACTTATTCATTTATCCATGGTCTGAAAATACTAAAAATATTAAATGGAAATTCCTACAAATACAGATTTTCAAGATGTCATTATCAGACTGGCCCCCTGAGGACACCATACACTATGTTACATAGGTAAGACACCACCATTTAACCTTGCCTCCCAGCAGCCTGAGGCAGTTTCCCTCTAGAGCAGTGTTGTTGTAAAAATCAGAGCTGGATTGGCTGGCGAGGCAGGAGGAGAGATGTTGACCTAAGCCAAACTGTCTCGTGGGAGAAGTTTCCAGCCTCCCACCCTTCCTGCCTTCTGGCTAGCCCCAAGAAGGTTTCAACTTGGCTCATACTCATATAGGCCCCATTGGAATAAAAATTACAGATACAGGGGAGTCCTGGGTTCAACAGACTATGTTAGCTATAATCCACATTTTTCAATATCCACAGGGGGCATGGAACTGATCCCCCACAGATGTAGGGGGTCCTACTGTATATATTTCTAGGATTTTTCTTTTAATACTTTTAATATTTTCAGACAATGGATAAGGGAATCAGTGGATGCTGATCCCATGGATACAGAGGTCCTACTGTAACCGTAGTTTGCACAAATGCAAGAGTGGTGGCTGCCTTTTATTGGACTCCTAAAAAATAAAACAAGTAGCAAGCTTCCATGGATGGAATCCACTTCCTCATGCTAAGCACACTTCCTTCATGGATAGTAGTACAGAAAAACTATAGACCAAAGTGCGGTACCTGTCTGTCATGGGTTTGGAGGGAAAGTTCCATCCTATGGGGAGTGGAAGGCGGGACATCAGGGGGGAGGAGCTGTACTGTATATATATTTGGAGCTTGTGTGGAGAAGAGGAGTTGGAGTCTGTGTGTCAGACTGGGTACAACTGTTTGTCAGTTAGTACATACCTGATAGGTTCAGGTTTTGTTGTAAAAATCAGAGCTGGATTGGCTGGCGAGGCAGGAGGAGAGATGTTGACCTAAGCCAAACTGTCTCGTGGGAGAAGTTTCCAGCCTCCCACCCTTCCTGCCTTCTGGCTAGCCCCAAGAAGGTTTCAACTTGGCTCATACTCATATAGGCCCCATTGGAATAAAAATTACAGATACAGGGGAGTCCTGGGTTCAACAGACTATGTTAGCTATAATCCACATTTTTCAATATCCACAGGGGGCATGGAACTGATCCCCCACAGATGTAGGGGGTCCTACTGTATATATTTCTAGGATTTTTCTTTTAATACTTTTAATATTTTCAGACAATGGATAAGGGAATCAGTGGATGCTGATCCCATGGATACAGAGGTCCTACTGTAACCGTAGTTTGCACAAATGCAAGAGTGGTGGCTGCCTTTTATTGGACTCCTAAAAAATAAAACAAGTAGCAAGCTTCCATGGATGGAATCCACTTCCTCATGCTAAGCACACTTCCTTCATGGATAGTAGTACAGAAAAACTATAGACCAAAGTGCAACAATTGATGTCTGTGGGGAAAGATCATCAATCATCCATTTTGAACTTTTGCCCTTAATTTTTCTGTACAATGCATGAAGGAGGAGTGCTTAGAGGGAAGTGGATTTCATTCACAAAAATGTTTGCTAGCTAAATTCTTAGTGGTCCAATAAAAGGCATCACCCTCTCTTACATCTGTGTGATCTTGGGGACCACACAGCCTATTCCTTGTTCTTTCTTGATAAGAGTTTACTGTTCCTCTACATTTTGACCATCAGGAAGTAGCTGTGTGATTTACTCTGAGGGCTCACAACATGCATTTAACATGCCATCTTCCAAATTAGTTTTGGAAGGTTTCTGAAGACATGTCAAGTCACCAGCTGAGCTGACAGCAGGACTCTCAGATAACCACTTCCACTATGAGCAAAATGCACAGAAATTGCTCCGTGACCTAGAAGACAGAGCAATGCACCACAAAAAAGGTCTGTCATCTTTCATTTTAAAACAAATGAACAAAACAATCAGTTTCTAGCCTATATGGCTATGGCTGCAAGAAAACATGTTGTTAGTCAGTACCCAGGAACTAAAAACAGTCTAAATGAGGATTTTAGAAGTTCCAAAATAAAGCTGTTCAACACTGAGTATTGTGAACTGAACCTCCTCTTACCCACATATTCCTGTTCTGTACAGCAGTGTTGACTCTTCTGCATAGTGAAGCCCAAATGCCAGTGGGCCCTCATGTATGGGCACAGTGCTTGCCCCCAGCCTACAACAGGCTGTGCAGTTTTACCCCAGCCTACTGGTTTAAAGAATGGATGATACCTTGATGGGTAAAAGGTAGACAGAACTGGAATGCATGCCTAATTATGCACTAGAGCCCAATCCAGAGGCTCCCCATTCTCTGTCCAAGCAGAGCATATTTTTTGTGCTGGTCAAGTGAATTTGATGGCTGCTGCCTTTGTTTTATAGGCAAATGTCTGAGAAATGCCTTCATGCCCTTTAAAGCTTCTAATTTTAGAAATAAAAATTCAAAATCTCTGCTTGATACCAGTGCTTCCCCTTTGATCCACTCAAGTTGCTCAGCCTTCACATATAATAAGGGCCATAACATAGAAACAGAACTGGATGTGTGGTTCTCTTGCGCATGCCCCCCCTTCCCCTCATCATTCAGCTGCTTTGCATATGACTCAGTCTGGTTCTTCCAGTCGAAATCACTCTCTTCATGGGAGAGGGAAGGCATGATGTCTTGAGTCACCCATCAAGCTTTATAGATTCCTCCAAGATTTACAACGTGGGAGTTGAATATCTATATATTTGTCCTACAACTCCATCAGCCCTACTCAAGGGGGCTAACAGTAACGGATGATGAAAGTTGTGAACCCAAAATATTTGGAGGGTTGAAGGGTCCTAACATACAATAAACATGCCATCTGAACTTGTTTGTCACCCAGTTTGCTTCTCAAAGGCCACTCCTTATTTCTACCCTTGAATAACCAATGCCCCAAATCCAGCTAGTTACACCTGCTGGCATAATGCAAATTATGGTGCAAATTTCAGCAGCAAATTGATAGAAGTAATAAGTGACTGTATTTGCATCAGCATTTGCACGACTCAGCACCATAGCAAATGCCTACGCCAAACTCTTCATTGACAGCAATTCACTGCTGTGTTTCATGCCAATTGGTCTACACTAGTGTAAAAACACCATTGAATTTTAGCTATCATTAGGACACTCTACTGTATTTCAAATAAGCCTATAGGCTCTCCGCATTCCCGAGATCTGTTCCATGGATTTCATGGCTTCCCTCCATGTCAAATACGCACCAGAATACAGAGAGGTCAGAGGTTTCCACAGTCATCTCCTCCATAGAGTCCAGCATTTTGGTGTGGAAGACAACAAGGCTCATCACCTTGGCAATGTCATGATTCTCCCGCAACTGCAACGGAGACTTTGCGACGCTGGTGTAGGCCTGGAGGAAGGAAGAACTTGTTCTCACTGTTGTATCCCCACCACCAAAAAAAGTCATCTGAACTACAGAAGAGCAGGAGCCATTTCACCTGCTGTGCGTGTGTCACTCCATCGCTCAACCCAGGGTTCTCCCTGAATGCGCAAAGCGCCTTAACTCAACCTAGGAGCCCCCCCCTTGTATTTTGAGAAATAACAGGGCAGTGCAAAAGTTTTGGAAAGTTGGCAATGCCTCCCTCGGGTAGCAATGGCTCAGGCAAGCACTAAGGCTAAATGGGACAGTCAAGCAGTGGCAAAAATGGCAGGGATGAATTCCTCCTTGGACTCAGCCTGAGGAAGGTACTAGGGTGAATGTCCAGTGATAAGAGCAATGTTCTACAATGGGAGGACTGGCCAAGAAAGGGGTGGAAGCCTCCTTGGATGAGGTGTTCAAGTAAATGCGGGACAGACGTATGGAAGTGGTGCAGATCACAGCCGGCTCCCCCTTTTGAGCCCAGCAACTGCTACAGGGCTAACCCCTTGGGGCTTTGCTGGGCAGTGCACTCTCAGATCAGCCACGACATCATCTTGCGAACCACAAGAGAGGGCATGCTAAACTTCCTCACAACATGCACATGCAAAGACAGCCACTTATGCACCCCTCAGACTTTCTCTGCAATGCAAAAGGAGCCTGGCGCCCACCTCCAAAGTCCCCCACCCACAAGCAGAGAAAGCTGGAAGACACTTAATTGAAATACGCCAGAAGGCAAGCCACTCCCCCTGGACATCTTCACTGCCCAGCAGTTGATGTGGGGAGAACTTAGGGCTAGAGTTCACCTGTTTTATAAGCGGAGCAAATCTCGCAGTATTCAACCATCTCATTGCAGCCTCATAGGGAGAGCACAATGTGCAGCCCAGTTCTCAAATGCACCTTTTCAATGGATGGGATTCCCACCAATCCCTGCTTCATCCTAAGGAGCACCAGCGAGAACGACAGCCTTTGTGCTGGAAGCCCTTGCAGAAGGACAAGAATGTTGGCGGGATTAGGAGGAAGCAGAAGAGTTGAACACAGCAAGGAATTTTACCTGCAATCTGAACCAATCCAACCGCAACCCAGTGAAATTGAATTTCTCCTTCGCTTCCACTGAAAAAGAAAGGCGGTGTTAGCAGAGGCCAAGGGACGAGAAAGAGCAACAGGGATCTCATACACCGTTTAAGGCTTACGGATGAGAAAACTCAGTTTGCTGCAGTGGGAAGGCAGACCATCGTCCTAAAGGAACTATCGTATTGTCAAAGAGCTTAGGGAGTTTATTGCAGAGCTTAGAAACAACACATTCACTTAATACACTAATGGTAAAATCCTATCAGACAAAAAAAAACTCTGAGAAAAACAAAACAAGAGACAAAAAGGCTGTGGCGCCTTAATTGTTACTTTTCCATTAAACAGGACAGGCCAACAAGTACGTCTGAAGAAAAACATTTTAAAAGCAACATTTTAATGTTCCTTCCATGATATTATTTTCAAAAAGGCTTAATGTGTTCCTCTTAATAATCTAATGCATCGTTCCTGGGCTCTGATTTATCAGAAGGCTAAAAACCACTCCTTGGTTTATTATTTATTTATTACCACCCCGTTAGTGCAATGCACTATGCTGGGCAAAACAAAAACATTGAACATTTTAATATACTGTATAAAAACACTATATTATTGTTCCTGGAGAGAATGGGCTTGCTTCACAGCTTATATGGGCAACTCCTACTCCGGCAGATGGCCACACAGCTTTGTCCCAAGGTTTTTCAGCATTCAAATTCACACATGTCCTCAAATGTCTCTAAGCCTCTGTGGCTAAAACATAGAGGTCAGAGGAGACCCTGAGCAAAGAGCCTTTCTTTCAGCTCAAAAGCTGTGTTTCTTTCCTCTCCCTCACAGAATTCATCACACCAAATCAAAACAAATTATGCACCACTGGCATAATATATTCTAGACACAAAAACCAAAACTTCTCTTGGTACACAACTTGAGGTATTCTTGTACAGGGAAACTATAATAGGGCAAAACTTCTCTTGGTACACAACTCGAGGTATTCTTGTACAGGGGAACTATAATAGGGGACTCATCTCTCTCTCTCTCTCTCTCTCTCTATCTCTCTCTCTCTCTCACACACACACACACACACACACACACACACACACACACACACACACACACACACACACACAGAGAGCAACCTTCAGTTGACAGAACAATTACCTTGCTTGATTGTGAGGGATGAGAGCGAGCTCACAAAGGATGACATAATCACAGACTCCTCTTCAGGGCACACCGTCAGGTCCTACAAAGGGCAACAGGACCCAGCAAAGAAGTGGTGACAGAAGACTTGTATTTATGCCCTTTATTTGCACTTAGGAGAATCTTATTATGAGAACAAATTGCGTTGCTAGTTTCCATGTGGCCTATTGCCCCAAGTGTCCTCTGACAGGGGTGCAGAAGTGAGTGGGAAGAAGCTTCAAGACAAGGAAAACGTCTTATGGTGGCCCCTTTGTTACTTTCTCCCTGTTCCTGAATTGTGAAATACTGTATCTTCTGCCCCATTGCACTAGCTAGCGGAAACTGCCATGTACAGTCTGCTCTGCTTGCAACAACTCAGACGGTGGCCTTCTCCAACAGGTGATACCTGAAATCCTTTTAACTGGAGATAACTGGGGATCCTCCTAACTGCTCCACTGACTTGTCAGTTTATCCTTCTTTTAGGAAGTCTGCACCATTCCCCTTTGTGAGAGAAAACTAGCATGTTATCATGATGTTATCAGCTCAGCCCCATTCACAGAAGCCAGCATTGGGGGCTTCTACCATCAAGTTTAAAACTCTTTTATCTACACTATCCCTGAATGGGTTTAAGCATTGAATGTATTTTTTCCCTATTTACACCTAATTATGAGTTTCAGGAGCCGTTCCTTCTGTTTAACAGGCAAAGGTCAGTAGGAGGCGGCCAGAGGCTGCTAAGCATCAATGCCAGGGTCGTCTTACACTCTGGGCAAAACAGGGCCTCTGCCCTAACCACTGGGAATGATGGCCAATCTCCATCCTTCCCCTTTCTTAACTCTGCCTCCTTTCTTTCATATTCGGTTGACCATCAAAGGATGGTCATGAGAACCAAGACCTCTTGGGTCTCTTGAGACACCATCTCTCTTCAGGCCTGACTCTTTTTTCCTTGGCAGTTTTCCTACCTGGATGACGTCACTGAGCACCCGGACATCAAAATGGGACAAGTACTGCACGTGGTAGCGCTGGAGAATGGCTTGATGTCCCCGGAGCAGGTTACGGAGCTTCTCCATCAGAAACAGCAACTCAGCCAGGCAGCTGTGGGGAAGAGGAACAGAGGTGACTCTCCATCCCATGTTTTCCAGCTGTGCTAGTCAGCTGCAGCAAAACCACCAAAGAGCCTTGTGGCATCTTAAAGAGTAATACTGTGTCATTCAGCTTAAGCCTTCATGAACTGCAGTCCCCTTCTTCAGATACGTGAAGGGTTACCTCTTGCTTAGGAGGGTGAGGAATTGCAGTCAGTAGAGTGAGAAGGAATTGAAAGGCAAAAGGTACGTATAAGCAATGATAAGGACTATAAGTTCCCTCTGATAGCATGAGCACAAGACCTACTTATCCATACCTTAGTCCAATAATCCCCCAACTGAAACGCAGGAGTAAGGTGATAGCTTACCACTAAAAAAATCAAAGAGTCAGCAAGCTTTTGTGGGTCAAGTCCACTTCTTCAGATCATGCCCAAATACGTTGTGGATAGTGTAGAACAATGATAAATGAGAGTCCCAGAAATTCATAGCAGATGGTTGTGCCAGGTCTGCTTCTTAGAGGTGATATCGGAAAAACTGCAGGCTACTTTGGAAGTGTGATTTTCAAACTACATTCCAGAGGGCTCTTGGTTGGATATCATCTCCCACAGCTCATCAAACAAAGAATCACCAGGAGGTTCACATGTGCCCCTCTCCATATGTTGTATTCTTTTGAAGCTGCAAAGTTCTTATTTGTACAGGGAAGAAGGCAATGCAAAAACCCAGTGAGGCTCCATCAGGAATTGAGGTAAACATTTAGTCTAACCACAAGACAGAGCCAAATGAAGCTAAGTGGTTTTGGCCCACTAAAGCTCGTTGATTTGGGGTTTTGGGGTTTTTTTTTTGTTTATTTGTTTTGTTTTGTGTGTGTTTGTGTGTGTGTGTGTGTATGTGTGTGTGTGTGTGTATGTGTGTGTGTGTGTGTATGTGTGTGTGTGTGTGTATGTGTGTGTGTGTGTGTATGTGTGTGTGTGTGTGTATGTGTGTGTGTGTGTGTGGTCTAATAAAGTTATCACCTACTCCTGCATTCCCATAGTGCAAGGGTCACACTTTCTGCGTCTGACAAAAAGGGTTGCAGTACATGACAATTTATGTCGCAATACAAATTATCAGCCTTTAACATGATGATCTTTGAAAGCCATGGATAGAATGATAGACAGGATTCTGGAGACCTGAGTTCAAATCCCTCCTCAGCCATGGAAACACACTGGTGAGTGGGGAGCTTAGAACTGGTAAAACCACTCCTGAAGTATCTCATACACTTTGAAAAACCTATTTCAAGTCAGACATCAACTTGAAGACTCATAACAAGTTGGTGGCATAACAGTCCATCTTTCTCTTTTTGGACAAAACAGATATGCCTGAACTTTGCTGTGACTATGTGTCTTCCATCAACACAACTGCCATCATTTCACAACCTATTACAGGTAAGAACAAGCAAGGTTTGGAAAACTTTCTCTTTTTTGGACTACAACTCCCAGAATCCCCCATTCCCAGTAGCAGTCCACCAAAGTAACCTTTCCAAGATTTCACGCACACAAAAAACCCCAAAACAAACTAAAGGGTGAGTGGGTGGAGAGGTTTGGGGCTAGAGTTTGCTTTAAGGACCCAGTAGAGTGGGAAGCAAAGAAAACCAGAAGCTCCTGTGGAAACAAAAAGGCAGGAATAGATCACAGTGGCCAGACTGCTACCAGTTCATTCCGAGAGTATGCAGCCACAAAACGGGTCCTGCCCACTTACTGAGCTGAGGATAGCCCAGGAGGACAAATATCCAGGACCAATTCAACACAAACAGAAACTCAGAAGGAACAGCACACTCCCCTCCCAGCAACTGCCTCTCAGCCTCCTTTGAGGAACCTACCTTGAAGGGTTGTGGGGGCCTGGATTCAGGCTTAGGACCCATCCAATCCCTACTAGACAACCATGAGTGGGCCATGGGCCCCTGGCCTATAAATATCCCTGGTGTAGCACACACACACACACACACACACACACACAGAGAGAGAGAGAGAGAGAGGCCCTCGTCACCACGGCAGCTGCCACAGAAATTGTGCACACCATCACAACACACAACGGGCAGACACATCCTGCATCGACATGTGAGCAAGTGTGGGCATGAACAGGCATCAATGTGCTTGCGGGTAGGGAGAAGGGGTAAGAATCTGTGTACGTATGAAACTGGGGGAATAAAGCAATGTGTCTTCTTTTGTGAGTGAATGGGGGAGGGTGTGCGCGCCTGTTTTTGAGAAGGGGTGATAGAGTAAGATTGGGGAGGGGACAAAATTGTTTGTGTGTGCACGTGCACCTGTTTGTAAAAGGGAGTACAAGGTAGGGGGGCTGAAGTTATAGGTTCAAAGGCCATATAGATACCCCCCCAAAGTCCCCCACCCTCTGTGTTAGAAGAACAGGATACAGTCAAAGACAAGGATGTACCTCTGACTTGAGTCTCTGGTGGCTGTTCAAAAGAGAGAACTGTGTAAGCTGTAGCTTGTGAACCAGAGGAAAGAAAAGCTGGATCTGATGAAATTCCGAGCGACATGGCTATTAAACATACATCAGCAATTCCCTCTTTTGTTTTCTTTTGTTCACTCAGCGGTTGTGAATTTGAAGCAAAAGAGGAGAGAAGTCCCCTGTGTTCAGCACGTTAGATAGGATCTCCTTCATTTCATCTCCCTTCCACACTTCTACCCATAGTACCTGTCAGTGAATTCCTCTGGGTTCTTGCCCTTGCTGACATGTTCACTATGTCGGCACATCCAGGTGACCTCATCACGGCAGAAGGATAGGGCCATGAAAACATAAATAGCCTGTTGGGATTGGTGGGGGGGAGAGAGAAAGAGAGAAAGATGGAGGTCAGCTACAGATATTTCCTCCCATCAATCAGCAACCCAACTCAAGAGACGCCCATTCATTCTCAGCAAAGACTGTGAGGGATGAGCATGGCTTTGCACTGCTGATAATTTTCTAAAAACCCTGTTAGACCAGAAGATGTCCTTGAGTTCTGCACTGCATAATGAAACCTCAAAATGGGGAGATCAATTATTCAAATTAATGGTATTTGATAAAGTCACACAGTGTACTTGCTCATGTTCTTCCCATTTTTCAAAATTTTCTTTATGACTAAGAAGGTGATGTGGAGGAGGAGGAGGAGGAGAAGCCAAAGAGGCTGAGCAGTAGGGAAAGACAGGAGAGCATTAGGGTAAAGAGCTAAAGAGCTATGAATATTTATGGCTTAAAGATAATAAAGATAATAAGAACAGAACAGCGCCTCAAAACATATTTGTTTCTGGGTCCCTGGCAGATGCGTTTAATCACTAAAAACATACAATTATAAGAATGACTAACAAACAGATATATATTAGCAAAGCATGTCAAGTTCTGCCTTCTTCATTCGCTTTTTTGTAAAAGGGAGTACAAGGTAACTCCTGGCATAAGGATACTGGGTTCTCAACTTTCCGCAGGGATAACTTATGCAACAGGATTTAGTCCCATATCTTTTCATTTTAACTGCATGGCTTCTACAACCTGACTACTCCAAGGAGCAAAGGTTGTAATCTAGAACTCTTCCATAAGGAACATCGGTTCAGCTTGCCTTGCATCCGGGACACCTGATACATTTCCCTCTGTCTAAACATTGCAGGACTGAAACGGGTGTTAACAGTCAAAGCAGTAATACAGCTGGGGAAGGTTATCCATGCGTTTTGTTTTGTTTTATTTTCAGGTAATGGATAAGTATAACTGTGGGAACTGATCCTATGGATACAGCAGTTCTATCATACTGGGGAGCCATGGCCAGTGGCTAGCAAGTCAAGGGACCTGCAAGCCAAAAAACTTTGGGAACCACTAGTACAGTAGATAGAGTAACAGACTAGGACTTTAGATAACAGGGTTCGAATCCCCACTTGACCATGGAAACTGATTGGAGTGGGTGTGTGGAATTGGTAAATAAAGGTAAAGATAAAGGTTCCCCTTGACATTTAGTCCAGTCACATCCGACTCTAGGGGGTGGTGCTCATCCCCGTTTCCAAGCCGTAGAGCTAGTGTTTGTCCATAGACAGTTTCCACGGTCACATGGCCAGTGCAACTAGACATGGAATGCTGTTACCTTCCCACCGAGGTGGTAACTATCTACTTGCATTTTGCATGCTTTCGAACTGCTAGGTTGGTGGAAGACAAGCGACAGGAGCTCACTCTGTCGCATGCATTCGTTCTTACAGCTGCAGATCTACAGACCTTACAGCACACAGGCTTCTGCAGTTTCACCCACAGCGCCACCACATCCCCGGAATTGGTAAAACTACTCCTTAAATATATCCTTTATCTTGAAAGCCCTGTTAAGGTCACTGGAAGTCATTTCTGATTTGATGGTGTAGTGCTTGAAAGCCCTGTTAAGGTCACTGGAAGTTATTTCTGATTTGATGGCATAGAACAACAACAACACATTCTGCCCTAAAATGGGTAAAGACATACAATTTAATTTTTCTCCCTGCCTTTGAATGCCAAACTTGAGGTCATCCAATCAAGCTGAATCATGGGAGATGCGAAGATGACTATAATCATCAGTTCACCCAGTAACTGTTCTATGAACAGCCACAGTTAATAAGGCCATCACCATTGTCTATATTTTCTGCATGTCATTCCCCCCCCCCATATCACTATGTATAATTTACCACTCCCTAAATGTGTTTCTAAACGAACTGTATCTCAGTATACTTCTTCACGTATCCTAGGAAGTTGCAAATATCTTGGGTTGCATTCTGTGGTGGAACCCCCCCCCGTCACACCTGTCCATCATGGGAAACTCAAGGGCAGGAGCCTATGAGAGGACAGGAGGGGCGGAACCAAGAGGACAGTTGAAGAGTTAATTAGACAGTTAGGGAGACAGTTAGGGAAGACGTATAATTTACCACTCCCTAAATGTGTTTCTAAACAAACTGTATCTCAGTATACTTCTTCACGTATCCTAGGAAGTTGCAAATATCTTGGGTTGCATTATGTGGCGGAACCCCCCCCATCACGCCTGTCCATCATGGGAAACTCAAGGGCAGGAGCCTATGAGAGGACAGGAGGGGCGGAACCAAGAGGACAGTTGAAGAGTTAATTCGACAGTTAGGGAGACAGTTAGGGAAGAGAGTTGGAGAAAAGTGGTTTTGCAGATAGGGAATTGAAAAGAGGGTAGGAGATTGAATTGATAAAGTTAAGAGAGATTGCTAGAGAGACTAGGAAAGAGTTTAAAAGCATAAACAATATATCGATAGTCACAGAAAAGTATAACAGTGAATAAAAACAAACAAACCCAACATGAAAGCAAATGATATAATGAATAAGCTTTAACATCTGTGATTTACCCCTGTGATTTGCATGAAATCTATAAAATCAATAAATCTGTTTAATTGGCAGCACGTGTCTAAGATCTCTTTGGTATTAAGGGAATAATACCTCGTGGTAGCGTGACGTGAGGACACACATCCAGAGGGTGGACTTGTGTGTAAGGCAAAATAAACAAAGGACATGGGGTGTACGTCACACATTCCACAGAAGTCACTCTTATCATTAGGCACTGTTCATAATTTTGCTTCAGTGGAATGCTTCTGCCTAGTGCAGTCCCCAAATGTAATCTCCAGCTGTTAAGATAGGGCATTGTTGTGTTTCTCATTGCTTCTGCTACAAATCAGGACAGCATCTTTCAGCTAAAAGGCAATGGAGATTTGGCTGAGTACTTTGTCTATAGCAGTGATTCCCAGCCTTGGGTAACCCAGGTGTTTCTGAACTACAACTCCCAGAAATCTTGGCCACCATAGCTTAGTGGTGAGGGCTCCTGGGACTTTGAGTCCAAGAACATCCAGGGATCCAAAGTTGGGAACCACTAGTCTATAGAGGCAGAGAGGGGCCACTATCCCTAGTGGTGAAATTTGATATGATCACACCTCAAGTTGATTTTTTCTCTATCTTGTGACCTTAGCTTAACTACAAATCCTATGGCTGAGACATCTGACCAGGATTATTTTTCGTTTAATTTTCCTGTTTCTCAACCCAAATCAAGTTCTGTACTGGCCTGCCTGATGAAGAGCCATGAAGGATTTGAAAGCTTGCTGTTTTTATGATTCTGTGGGTGGTTAGGTATTTATTTAACCCCAACTTTTCATGATGGGCACGGAACCAACAGCTGTGTTTCTTTTTTCTTGTTGGTGGTGGCAGTTCTTTTTAGACACCCTCCTTCTAAAATGTGCTAGCAGTCTTGTATATGGTTAGAGAACTAATGAGACAAAAGTGCTACTAAGACAGCCCAGAGGTTTATCAAGCTGGACACATGAAGTTATTTTGCCATGAATACTACCGCAACTTATTTTGCCATGAATACTACCACAACCAAACACACCCACACACCCATGTATGTACTCATCCTCTGTGGCACTCGTCTATACTTGCATTTGTCTACTTGCATAATTTACGCACATTGTAAAAGCAATGCAATCTTACTGCACAGCCCTTTTCTCTTGTCCATCTCTGTGTGCCTTGAGGTTTTATCCTTACCTTTGGTCCTAACAGCCCAGGTTCATTGGCTAAGATGGCCTCCATCTCCTTCACAGCATTCCTCAGGTAATTACGTCGACCTCGATGTAGCTGCCCACTGTCAAGACATCGACCCACAGGGTTTACTCAGAAAGATGACCGTCACCCCATCTCCCCTCTTACTCTGTCAGGAACGTGCATTACGAACAGAGAAGTACATGATTCCCCTTGCCAAGCAAATCAGCCCAGAAGGAGCTGTTGCTGTCCTGGGTCCAAAGAGGGAAGCTGATCTCTTTTTCCTAGCTTCAAAGAACAGGCTAGCTTTCCAAGTTACCAAGAGCTCCAATCTTCCCAGTTAGTATAAATATGTTGTGTCAGTCTGAAAGTTTGCCCACTCCTTTAGAAATGTTCGTGTTCCAATATATCAGCAGTGCACAAAATGTGGTCTTTGGGCCACCTGCAGACACCCTCCCCCCTTTCTATGATTCTGGAGACATCAAGTCCTACCCACCCCCACCCCAGTGAAATTAAGCTGCAGGAATATAAAAAGCATGCTTTAAATGTGTAAGGTAAGATTCATGGGGAGCGTGTTACCTTCTTTTAAAGTCATGGCCTCAGCCACAAAGTCAGGGCCACAAAGTCAGCTATATTCCACAACATAATTCAGCCCACAGAGAGTTTGGAGGGGGGGGAATCAGGAGCGCTCATCCCTGATATCCATGTTTCCTCAGAAGGAAATCCCAGTTAGCTCAATGGTGCAAACCTCCAGGGGATTCCCAACTTAGAGCATACTCAGGGCATTCTCTTACAGTCCTAATACCACCAATTTTATGAAGCAGAACACTTTGGAAACAGTGACATGATAGAAGTCATCAAAACAGGACTTGGAAACAAAATATCAGAGAAGAAAGAAAGAGCCTGCAAAAGGAAGTTGGAAGCAGACTAGAGGCCTGGCAAGCTTGCAGATCGATCCCTGGGATTGGCAAAGCAGACCAAGGGCAGGAAGGCGGCAGACAAGAGGAAGGAGGGGAATGGTGGGAAAGGTGCCTTCTCACCTGTGCGTCACTGCATGTTCTTTACACTCTTTGGCATCAGCTATGCGTTTTCCATAACTAGACAGAAAGAGAGGGAGAGGAAGAAGAGGTCACAGTTCAAAGCCCTCCAAAGTATGCAGGGTTGCATTGTTTGGCCTGCTTGGTAAGGGGGCGAGAAACAGGGCTAGTGGTGGGGGAATGAAAAGACAATGGCACGTTGGAAATCCTTGCCTTCGAAATGGTTGTGCCAAAGATTCTTGGGCTTCTGCAGTGCTTTGGAGGAAAGGAGACAGTTGATGCTATAGTCCATGCAAACGGCACAAGAGATGTTTCCTGCACCAGAAAGCACCCTTTCCAATGCCCGTCATCTCCCCACTAAGTTAAAAGGATTTGAGGAACAATGTCTGAGGAAGGTTTAAGGAGCTGCTGTCAATTCAGTAAGAGCAACACTGACCTAGTCAGCCTTCCTCAACCTGGAACCCTCCAGAGCAGTGGGAGGGCAACTCCTATCACCCTCGGATGACCAGCACAGCTGGAAGGCACTGGGTTGGAAAACGCTTGTGTAGGTGGGCCCATCATTTCCTGTACCTGGAACACTAGGGTAGAAGAACAAATCTTAAGAGCTGAAATCCAGTAGTAAGTCACAACTCAAATGGGCCCATTGAATCAGTGAGGATTTGGTGAGTCAACCCCCATGGATTCAGTGGGCCTACTCCAGTTGTGACTCACCACTGGATTTCAATGAATGCATGTGGCCTTGACTCTGCTCCTGATTCTGTCAAATTTTGCATTCCCTACACAAAGGAAACCCTCTCAAGACACCCTAACAAGGACCTGCCCTCCTCTGGATTAAAAAAAGAGAGGGAAATGTGTCCATGTCCAGGGTGGGCTATTTCTACTTCCAGATGTTTTGGACTTCAACTCCTGGAAGGTCTCAGCCAGCAAGGCCAGTGGTGGGGAATTCTGTGGGGTGTAGTCAATAATACTTGCAGGGCCGTGGCTTTTCCAGCTCTGCTCTAAACCACATGGCATGATTACCTCAAGGACTCCTCTCCATGCAGCTTACCCTTTGAGGCCACCGAAGGCCTCTTCCGTAACCTTGTGAATAGGGAGCACTTCATCTCGAACTAGGCTGATGTAGAGTGAGCCACGGAGAGCTGCCCGCCACAGATCCAGGCAGTTCTGTGTAGAACCCAGGCAGCTGTGGCAGAGCAAGAAGCCAACTGCAAGAGGAAAAGGTCAACATCAGTGGCAGGGCAGGGAAACAAAAGAGAACAAGTATTGAACTATGGCAAATGGGGCAACGTTGGGCAAATGTGGGGCCTTCCTAAATAAAGCCAAAGTGTTCAGGCTGACGATCCTAGCATGGATCCCCTCCAGCCTAAAGGTATCCCAAAGAACAACGTGGTGACTTACTCACAATCCATCGCTCAAGAACCTCCAGGGAAAGGTATTCACAAGCCATCTAGGAAGGAAGTACAGAGAAAATCAGATTTGTCTACATATGTCCAAAATTATCCTTCTTCTTCCCAGTCCCCATTGCCTTTGTCCACCCTCCCACCCAGCTTTTTGTGCATTGGATTCTCATACACAGCCAAAAGTAACAAGGCCTTGTTATGTACCCATGGGATCGCTTAGTGGAACATCCGTACGTTCTGATCATCCTTTGCTCAAACTCTAGTTTGAAAGCCCAGAGAATCAGATCTTTTATGGAAGTGAAACATCTGGAGTTCGGAAAGTTGCTTTAAAAATTATTTATATGATGTTACTTATTATAGTGTTGAGAGAGTGATTTGTTGCTTTTATTCAGTGGAATATTTGAGAAGTAACTGCTGTTATTCAGTGTGTTTCCTGCTGCTCTATCATTACTTCCCATTTCTTGTTTTGTTTTGTTTTTTTAAAAAAACCTAAGGACTGATAAGAAAAGGAGGTAAAGTGTTAACATTTCTTGTTATGTTTTTTTTTAAAAAAAAAAAACCTAAGGACTGATAAGAAAATGAGGTAAAGTGTTAACATTTCTTGTTTAAAATCCTCTATAATGCCTTTTAAAAAACAAACTCAAGAATAATCAGAACATATTACACATTATATCAACAAGATGATATCACTCCCATTCCTTGGTTGAAATCTTGCTGCACTGTTACCTAAAAGGCATAACTTTGGGAGGTAAATTGAATCAAGTTGAGATTTCATAACTTGAAGAAATTCACCTCCAAAAATGACCCCTTTTGCATAACAGTGCAAAGAGGATTTCAGCTGTTATGTCCATATTCAAAAGTGTTTCCATTATGCTCTTCTTACTGAAAGAGAAAAAAGTATATCTCATTATTTGTAGCTATGCAGCTTAGAACTTATTTCTTTAAAGCTCTGATAAGGCTGTCATGGCCTGTCCTTCTGCTTGAACCTGCACTGCATGCCGGGAAACACTGGATTTACCCACTAAAAGGTATAGATTTATCTATAGCATCAGCAACATGAGCTTTCCTCCATTATCTTTACTTATTCAAAACATGTAACCTGCCTCTTCTACGATCTGAGCGTGGCTGTACTAGAGGGGTAGAGGAGGGGCTGTGTCTCATTTACTCACCAACATACTTACCGTGTCTGAATTGGCAGGAGCAATCATGCCTGCAGGGTTGCTAATCAGACTGAAGAGTTGGTCACTCCGCCACTGGTCAGCTGAGTGGTTTCGACGGGCAAAGAGGAAGTGCAGTGAAAGAAGGGCACTGCTCACTGCCTGGCAAGAGAAGACAGCAGCAGAAGGAACAACAGGTCCAGGGGTTGGGGGGCAGGGGGAGAACAGCATTCCATCTTGGCAAAGGCACATCCCTGAACCACACATTCATAGCACTGTAATAAGTTGGAGGCAACGTAACAACAAGGATCTCCTCCCTCCGCACTTCATACAGAATTCTCATGTTTTCTTTTTAATATTTTCTCTTCCAAAGAAAGCAGAAGCATGCCATGCAAACAGTGGTCAAAAACTGGCTTAACTTTTCACTTGAATGAGCGAGGGAGAGTATTTCCCAAGCAGAGAGAGAGCAGGAGAGATACCTAAAACCATTTCTAAAATGCAGGTGTGCCAGAGCTGGTAAAGTTACTTTTTAAAAGCTATTGGAATCCTCTTACAGCAGTTGAAAGGAAAATCCTTGCTGACAGACAATCCAAGGTTGGAGATGCAACTTTTTACATTATTTGTGCTGTTCATTGCTCTGCCATAATTTTCTGGCACTTTGGGGAGGGGAACACTTAAGACTTATACGGGAATGATGGAAACCTTGAACAATTATTAGCAGTAATAATTGCTAAGTAACTAGAAAAACATTACTCATTACATCAATAAAATGTGTTCAGCTCTATTTTTAAAATGTAACTTGATTATACCCACATTACCTGAAATGTAACTAATTCCACTTAAGTCGCTTTCATCTCATTGTTTCCAAACTCTGAGATACACTTAACTCATTCCTGCATGAAAAGGTTATTATCCCCTTTTGGCTTAAAATAATTTCATTTCCCCTCAATGGACCTACATAAGGAGGTGCTGTTCCTGTACAAACCAGCCAGGGCAAGAATAAAAAAACATCTGGAACTTTCGGACTACAGCTCTCAGAATCCCTCACTATGTTGCCTGGGGCTGATAGGAGGCGTCGCCCAACCCAACTGAAGGGCACGAGGTTACCAAGTCCTGCACAAAAGTGTCCAGTGTTGTGGCTTGCTGGCTCCTCCATCTTCCTTTTCCTCCAAATCCAACCATCCCGATCACTATCAGAATTCCACCCCGCATACATTTCTCAAAATACAACTGTGCCGCTTTTCTACACACCATGGATATTAAGACTTTTTTGAAAAAGGCCATACAGACAAGTTTAAGACAAGACTCGCAGGCTTCTCGTGGATGTTCCAGCCTACAGAACAGGATCATGCAACTCAGGGGTGGGTGGGTGTGAGGATTACAGACACCTATCCAAATCTGACACACCACTGCAAAAATGAAGGTAGGCTGCAGCACAATCCTATTTTGTAGACGAGCACACACCATTTCCTCATGGGTGATAAATCCACAAACCAGTCATCCTAGGACAGGGCTAACTGCCAAATCCAACTGGAAAAGCTCTCTCACACACACACACACACAAATCTCACCTTGGTATGGGGTCCGAACTCCTCCATCAGCTTGCGCAAGGCATTGTCGTACTCTAGGATCATCTGACCCAACCGGGGGTAGCTGGCATCGCTGAAGCCAGATAAACAGAGAGTTGTCAGAGGTATTGGCTGTTCATTCGGATCTGTCCTCCTCCACCTCTGAGAGCACACAGCCTTTTCAAAGCGAAAGCACAGCCACAGACCTCCTGGGACCAAGTCTCAAGAACCTGCCCTCCAAAGAACTACATCCATTTTTCTATCAGCCCCAATTAAAGATGTATTTTTCTCAGGTAGTACAGTTGTACTAGCACAATCCAACAATAATGTTTTATTTATTTTTGTAAAGTCTATTAAAAGCAAAATGTGCTGCTTCTATCCTGCCCCGCAGTGTTTAAAGTATTATCTGGGCTGTTTATAATTTAATTACGCAGGGTAGACATTCCCTGCCTCCAGCAAACTGGGTACCCAAATTATCAATGTGGGAAGGATGGAAGGGTGACTCAACCTCGGGTTATCTACCTGAGCCCGTCGGGATCGAACTCAGGTCACGAGCAGAGTCTTCACTGCAATGCTGCGGTTTAACCATTGTGCCACACAGGTGCACACATTTATATTTATTTAGACCCATTTTCACTTTAAAACACAATTCCCAAAATGGTTTACAATAAAGATGCAAGAATACCAATAGTTAAAATCAGAAAACAATGATAAAATATTTTTTAAAAAAATCTGTTGAAAACAAGTCTGAAAAACATGTGGAAGCAAGATTAACAATCAGGTGGACAAACAGAAAAATGCATGGGCATACATGCATGTTTTATAGTTAATGCCAGAAATGGCCCAAACTGGGGTTTCCTCTAATCTCTAACGTCCATAATTCCATTGCTAGGATTGCACCCCTAGCATCACGTCAGAGAAAGTCCCACTATGTATGGTGCAATGTCCTGGCTAACACAATTCTAGGGAAGCACCACTGCTTTCCAGCTCTCAATGATTTGCTACTGCCATCAAACTGTGCAAGCCTGGCTAGTGCTGAAAGATGATGGGAGAAGCAGTTCATCAACATCTAGAGAGCCAGACAAATTCCCCGGCTCTGCCTAAAGAAATGGGAAGATAGTCTTGCAGAGAAGAGATAGTCATGCAAGAAGGGGGAAGGCTGGCCTTTTATTACGTAGCCAACGTTGGGCAGAGAAGAGATAGTCATGCAAGAAGGGGGGAAGGCCAGCCTTTTATAATGTAGCCAGCGTTGGATCCCCCAATGTTCTTGAACTACAACTCCCAGAAATCCTAGCCAGCACAACTAATGGTGAAGGCTTCTGGGAACTGCAGTCCAAGAACATCTGGAGACCAAGGTTGGGAACCACTGGCTGTACTTCACAGCTCAGAACCAAGGGAGAAAGCAAATGTGAACTATTTACAAAATGGCAGGGAACAGCCATCTAGGAAGAGGCCCCTATACCTAGAACAAGATAAACAAGAGTAGCTAAGTACTCCAGCTTAGAGATCTTATAGCATCACTTTCTAATAACCATCAAGTAAAAACAGGCAGGGACTTCCAGGGATGCCATCTCTGAACAAGGGAGTGGACTACTAGACGGCTGTTGTATACACGGTACTATCAGGTTTGAAGTGTTCATTTTACATTTCAAATTGTTGCTATTAATTTCTGTATCATTTACAAGTGGAATGCCAGCTTTTCATGGGTCATAAACAGGCTGGTCCCCATCTCACCCAGTGATGTTCCCCTTCCTCCTACCTACTGATGCTTCTCCTCCCTCATCGACCCTACACAGCATTTCTTTCCTCTGTTCTTTCTTTTCTCTCACTGCGTTTATCGTCTTCTCCCCTGATTCCAATGCTCCTTCAGACTTTCTATCTGCTCACATTCTTCTTCCCATTTTCTAGCAAGCAGGACATTTTCCCTCCCTTCTCACTTAAATTTTTTATGGATCTGAAGGCCCTGCAAAAGTGAAGCCAGGATTGTGCCCGACACATTACCTTCATTTCCTTGCCTCTGGGCCTCTAGTAACTCATAGACCAAGTGGGAGCCACCTATCCTCAAAATGGCAGAAGGAAGCCACTCCTTGGGTCAGACTCTGCCCCCTGCAGAGCAGCCTAGAAGTCCTTTGAAGAAATGCCTACACAAAGTCTGGCTGTAGCTTCCTCTCTGATGATTAGGGAGTTCTGTCACACAGTGACTAAAGGCAGTACTGCAGTCATAGACATGAATAAATTAACTAAAATTATTTAATCCATTTTGAAAAACAGACGATACAAAGATAAATTTCCCTAGGGTCCTTTTCGAATACAGGCTAAGATTTCAGGTGCCTAGGTTTCATGGTCTTGCCATGTAGTCACAAATGGAAGCACATGCGTAAGTTAATACAGGCTATGTATTGTGACTGCATATTGACTTGGGCACGCCTTCTAAAACCCAGCTTATAAGTGCTCTAAAATAATAAATACAATATTAATAATAAATAAGTGGACCCCAACCTGGTTCCATGGATCATCTCATGGGTACAGTGATATAGGCCAATCAGGGCTTTGCGGTCATCAATACGGGAAAGGAGTAAGATGACGGATGCATAAGTGACAATCAGGTCCAGGTAATTCTTGGTGAAATCATAATTGATATGCTGTAGGAATTTTTAAAAAATGGAATGAGGACAGAAAAGACGAAGAAAAACTTAGCATTGACTAGCCCTGTGTAACCACAGACATTCTGTTTAATCACATTTTAATGACCCATGGGGGTTTGCATTGTGCCCTGTTCTCTGAGGTTGCACTTCCCTCACAGTGTACTGTTTAGGGCTTTCCTGGAAGGGGAATGTATGGCTCCCCAGATGTTTTTAACGGCAACATCCACCAACCTCACCATTGACCAGGTTGGCTAAAGCTGGATCTTCCCACCCAGAGGAAGGACTGAAAATAAGAATTCAGCTTTCTCCCTCCCTGTTGGAGCTGATGGCACATCCCTTTTGCGAAGGGCATAACCCTCCTGTAGAAGACCACCAGTGAGAATAAGCTAAAACTCATCCCTGAAAACAGAAGGAACTATTGGAGTCTGGAGACCCTGGACACCCCCCTCAGAACCTAAAGCTCCAGAAGCTTAGTGTCTGAGTCAGAGGAGGAAGGTGGATTGACTCGCAGCCAAGGAGAATACTGCATGATAAAGGCTGAAGCCTGAATAGAAACCATCAGGCAACATGCTACAAGGAAGGTCATCTTGAAGGGGATGAAGCCTCCTGGAAGGAAAGCATTTCCTCTCAGGGAGAACCAATGAACCAAATGCTGCAGCAAAATGCCTTTCCCAGCTGGCCGGTGCCTTCAGCTGAGTTCTGGATGGCTTTCTGCTTGGCCCAGGACCACGGGTTTGCTTGAACGTGGATTCTTGTCTTGTTCCAAACCCTGATCGTTATCCAGAACCCTGTTGCTGATGCCTTGCTGTACAGCCTATGACTTTTTGTCTGCTGTCCTATGCTTCTTGGCTGTCTGCTGTCTAGCGTCACAACAAGAGCAGATCATCATGTTTGCAATTTGTATCAATTACAGCAATTAAATGCTTTTCTTGTGCTCAAAGGAAATTGCCCGTGGTCTTTTGAACAAACAAACAAACAAGATGTCACTTCCCTATGCTACTCAAAAGGCACTCACAATGTCAAAGTAGCACTGGCTGGCATCAATGGTGTTCAACAGTTCGTAAACATGGTCCTAAAGGAGAAAGTGAGTGTTAGTGACACTATTGTAAAAGAACGGGATCGTCTTCAACATTTTTGTTAAGAGTCCTGGTTTCTGGACCCCACGCCTTGAATTCTCTATCTTCACTAGGCCCAGACTAATGGCCATGCTAAGTATATTATAAGAAGGGAAACCTGAAAGCATAAAACATGTATACCCTAACATTGCCCCCTCCTTCACATCCCTCCCCTCCTTGCACTTCCCTCATTTTCCAAACAATCCAGGCTTCTATTCATAGGAATAACCACCTCATGCCAAACAGGCCCAAAGTGTCAACTCAAATATGAAAGCTTTCCTTTCCCACCACCTTTCTCTGAAGCATCTCCAGTTTTGCTCCAGACTGCTGTGATGACATTGACAAATGTTTGTTTTTCTGTTCTCGAATGTTAAAGATCTAGTTGATTACGTATTCAGCTGTAAACCCTGTGTAGTGTTAAATCGTAAATAAACACTTTGTATTTCTTTTTTTTCCCCTTTTAAAAAGAATGGTTCCCTCAATTCTTGGGAAACTAGCTCAGGAATGTGTCAAAATTATTTATCTGGCTGCTAGCTTGGTTTATTTAGCAAATGTTCTCTGCAAAGAAATAATAATAAATAAACTTAGAACCGCAATGGAACTTTTTTCTCCAATTTTTTTTCTATTTTGGCATACTCGGTTCTATATTCTGTTTTCATTCTGAACAGGATTAACACTGCAGAGGCACAGTCATGCTGCATATTTTTGTATAACCTTTTTATCGTTTGGAGTAGATGTAATATCTATATTATAATGCTACCAAACTAAATGTACCGAATTTGCTAAAGGCTGTCCAGTGTGTTAATTACAAGTCTGCAGGGTCAAGAAGATAAGAGGAAAGGAAGTCTTCCATTGCACAGACCGACTGTATGGTTGGAGGAATCTGTGTCATACAAGGGTGAAGTTGGAAGATAGCATTAAACAGGAAATTATTCCCTATCCTTGTAACAAAAAGGAACAACGAGGTCAGAGCCTCCTGTTAGATAAAACGGAGCAAAAGCCTCAGGCAGCCCATGGGGCAGCCCACAGGGCATTACTAATAAGCCACCCTGCCCTCTCTTGAGACCGTTCTTTCCCTCTTGGGACAGAGCTGTATATATCGTACGGCCTGTCTTCCAACTCCCAAATGAGTTGGAGCTCTCAGGCAAGGTGAAAAATACTCTCTTGTTGTGAGTGTTGACGTTAGAGTCAGATGCAGAGCTTCTGTACATGAAACAGGAGGGGGTTGGTCCTATCTTGCCCTCTGCCAGGCAGAAGCTATTAGACTATTAAAGGTTTAGTCTGACCCTCTTGTTACCTCCTGAGCCCTCTTGGGCCTACCTGGGTGCCCTTCGGCTCACCCTGAAGCAGATGCCTCTCTTTGCACAGGGAGAAGCAGGAAGACGGGGGGGGGGGGGCTGATTCTGTCTTATACCTTCTCTGACTTAAGGTGACCTTCCTTCTATCTAGAGTGTGATATTCTTAGGGTTGCTGAGATCCCTTCTTTCTCATATTTCCTTCATGGTCCTCACTAGGAGAGGACCAGGGAGACATATACTGTATTTCCTCACTAGGAGAGGACCAGGGAGACATATATTTTCTTTGTTCTCAAGGAAGCTGTCATGGCTCCCTACATCTATACCACAGTTCGCTTTGAACCAGGAGACATTACAATCTTTCCCATCTCTATGCATTTCTCTAACAATTACTATTTTCCTATTTTCTTAGAAAGGGAAATATGAACATGATTTCTTTCCAAAGGGGGAAGCGTGCTTGGCTAACCGTTCCAACATTTAGGGGCAGAATTCAGAGGTTAAATATAGCTGCTCCATACACACCCTGATAACAGCCTGGGACTCTAGCCATATTCCACTCAACCATCTGAGGTATTCAAAAATTGAACCAGGGAATTCTACTCGACAGATATAAAATGGCAGAATTTACCTTGCCTCTCCAAGGGCCAGATATTAGTTTGGATTGTTTTTTTAAAAAGGTTTTTTAAAGCCTAAAAACAGGCAATGTGGAGCACATTCAAGTTTAGAGGGATAACTGAGAGAGTAAAATTTGCATTTGAGGTGGAAAATGGGCAGGGGGAGATCTGGGTGGGAAGAAGATAAGAGGAAAGGAGTTAAATGGGCAGGGGGAGATCTGGGTGGGAAGGGCTGATGAGGTGCTTGGGGACTGTATTGGGAGCCCTGGAGCTGGACTTTGCTTTCCCCTGCCCTAAAATAACAAACCATTGCACAGACCGACTGTATGGTTGGAGGGCTGATGAGGTGCTTGGGAACTGTATTGGGAGCCCTGGAGCTATACTTTGCTTTCTCCTGCCCTAAAATAACAAATATGTGTAGGCACTCAGTAAATTTTGCACCACATATTCCCAATATTTTACATATACCCATTGAGAGTACTGTATATAGAACTGTAAAGAAAGGAAGCAATGATCAGTGTCACTGAAGCACATGGTCAAGACAAACTACAGATGCAGATTGTCTGCTGTTCTCTCCATTTTTCAGAAGAATGCAAACGTTTCCCAAACCAGAAGACAGCAAACTGAAAGTAACAGTCCACATAGCAATAGGGCTTCACCCAGCTAGCACTCACCCGGAATTCCATTACATCCACAAAGGTGTGATAATAAGCACCAAGCGCCCGGAAAATATCTGCTTTCTCTTTGTGCACAGGACCCAAATGTTGCTTTAAAGAAAAAATAAACAAGGACATTGATAAATGGAACATTTAGTAGATAACAACATTGGACTCAATTTCCTTCCTTATCCCTTTAGGACGCTGGTTCCCAACCTTGGGCAACTCAAGTGTTCTTGGACTGCAGTTCCCAGAAGCCTTCACCAGCTGTGCTGGCCAGGATTTCTGGGAACTGCAGTCCAGGAACACCTCGGTTGGGAACCACTGCTTTAGAACATAGAGTACATAGAGCTTCATTCATTGGTCATCAAGTCCTTGTTTCGGTTCACCATCCTTTTTTGGAGTTAGGTTTGTTTTTCTTTTAATTAGTTTTAAGAAAGCATTCTACTGTGTTTTATTGAAGATAAAAGTCAAGACATATAGTTAAACAAAGAATCAAACAAAGAATCGAACCAAAATACAACAAAGGCAAACTCTTAAATTATTTGATCAATTACAGTTTTAAGCTGTCTCCGTCTGGGATAGCTCTTCCTTCACTGTCTCATTCTTTCTTTCCTCAGTTTTTTTGTTCCTAAAAAATCACACTTCCGTTACTTTAGTTTTGCTTCTTTAGCTTATTTCAATGCCTTTCTTAAAATGTTCATCTTTTTTTAAAAAAAAATGTTTTCATTTAAGGCTTCAGCTCATAATGCAGTTGCTAGGGAATAAGCTTGAGTGCATTCTGAGTTAAGTTGCACAGAATTAAGCTGGCTATGGTCTTATCTGTTGTGCCTCACCTTTAATTTTTGTTTTTCATATTGTTCCCAGATGCAAAAGAGAGCAGGGCTCTTGCATGCTTAATACTTGGGGAAAAAGGAAATGTCACGAGGTTGAGTTTCATATGGAACACAGCAACACTTGTGGAAAATCCTTCTTCCATAGACCTGTTAAGATTAATACAGATCTGTACAGAACAAGGACAACAGACAAGTGGCCCGCTCAATGTTGGTGGACTGCAGTTTCCATCACCATGCAGGAGGTCAGCCAAGAGGAGGGGGGCAGAAGCCTCCACTGGTTTCCAGGGACTCCTTGCCTTCATTATGGTAGGCTAGCTCCATGCTTTCTTTTTTCCCCAGGCTCTCCCCCCACCACCTGTCCCCACACCTGGGTGACACCTCACCTGCTGCCCCTACAGCCTCCTGGATCCACTTATGCTGGATAGGTGGATCACAACCACCACTGCATGGTTGATCTCAGGTGGGTGAGGAGCCCAGCCCAGAAAGAGTTCTAGACCTTGAGCCCTGTCCAAAGCGAGAAGGCAGGAAGGTGGGTGGACATACAGCTGTAGGACTGCCAGGTGAGCATGGGAGGAAGAGCTATGCCTGTAGTGGCAAAATGAAGCTGGGTTAGCCCATCTCCTCTTTCCCTGTTTGCTGTGACAAGCTGCAAGAGCTTTAGAAGATGCAGAGAAGAGAAGGGGGAATGAACTCATAGAGACGTTCACATAAGCAATAACAGTAAGGATTGTTAGTTGTCATCAGTACAAAATAACACAAGCTTCCTGGTGAGGGGGAAATGTTCTGCAGTTACACTGCTGGATGGGAAAATGCTTCAATAATGGCCGTGCATTACGTGACTGGAAATTTATGCACTGATCTCACAGAGGTATAACTAGGGAACATTTCCCTGGTTTGACCATGGCCTGAACTGGCCCATGGATCTTATTTCAAGTCTACTGATGGAACAGCATCCTCCGTTGTTCCTGAGCCTGCAGTCTACTTGACAGGACCCTGCCATGGTCTGTCCTGAAGCTACCTACATAAACTGAAAAGCCCTGGATGACTCTGGAAGCCTGAGAATCTCATGAGGCCCTGCTATGACCCAAACTTCACTTCTAGAAGAGATTCATTCACTCTGCCTAATGTTAGGGCCAGCATTACTAGGCTTGTCAGGCCCAACTCCTCATTGTGACATCATGGGTTGCATAGGTACTCACCTATGTGCCATGGATACCTTCTGGCTAATGCCCTGACATCATTAGAGTGAGCAGCCCAAGTCTCTCTTGCTCTGCTTCCCCCACCCCCTCCTATTGATTTCTTTTGTCAACAGGTGAAGGCACCAAGAGATAGAGGCCACCATATGATAGCGGTTCAATCTCTGCCCCCTCCCTCAAATGTGCTGACTTACGGCAAGACTTTCCCCTGCAGTTCCAGTATGAGACAGTATCTCAGAGACAAAGCATATGCTTCGCCCTTAGGTTGGGGGAACGCCTGGCTCTCCAAACACTGTTGTCAATGATCATCACCAGTGGCTCAGCTAGCTTGGGCTGATGCAGAGTTGCACTTCAACACTATCTGGAAGGCCACACAAGCTCTGTTTACGCCCTGTATGCCAAAGCTGCATTCCTTATCTGCTCCAGATGACTCCACCTCACCTTGAAATGCTGGGAAACCAATCACGGTCAGAATAGGCAAATCTTGGCGAGAGGGACCCAATGGTCTGACTTTGGGGTAAGGCAATCTCGTGCACATTAAATGACAATGGAACACTCTAGTACTGAAAATGTAATCCAGCAGGTAGCCACATTAGTCTGTTGTAGCAACAGAGAAACTAGAAGTCATGTAGCCCGAAGAAGACTATTTAAAATAAGCTTCCATGTATCCAAGCACACTTCTTCTGAAGAAGCGTGCTTGGATACCATCCTTAGAATGGGCTAATATGGTGGCAGCTGCCATCCTCAATGAGCAACTGCTCTAATTTAAAAGGGAATCAATGGTCCAGAAAATAAGCTTATTCATATAGAGCCCCCTTTACCAGCTTAGACTGGTTCACCAACAACAACGGTTACTGGGTGGACACAATCAGGTCACAATGCTCTCTGTGAGCATCCAACTGCAATGTGTGTTACAGAGGGGGACATTTTAGACTCCTTTAAGCACTGTACCTTGGGTATAGCCAGACCTACACTCACAGTTAATCCACATTTGATAGCAACTAGGTTGCTCTTACGGCAACCCTAAGCATACACTGCTAGGTAACCACACATTTTTCTAAAAGAGATACAGCAAATGTGAAGTAGCCAGGTCTAAACTAAGGATCTGTCCTGAATTTGGGTCATGTTGGCAAGTGCTTGAGAGGAATCTGGTGAGTAAAGTCCTTGTTAACTTCACCATCTATTCCAGGTTACTGGTGGACACAGAGGGATGGATTTTGACATTAGTATCTTAAAAAACAACAACTGTGCATCTACATACCTACAAATCCACTGAACAACACATGTCCTGTATCCTGTTCTTTGGCCGGCAGGAGCAGTGAGGGTGGAAGACAACAGGTCCAAAAAATGGCAATCAAGGAATAAGAGATGACTCGACTCAAACAAAATGGAGGGGATGGGTTTGCTGGGAAAGGGGTATTGCAGAAAATATAGTAACTTCTACCTTGAGACAGAAATCATTATAAGATGCACTGATTCAATAACCAAAGGCAGCTTTAAGTCATCAGTGCATACCAATGGATCAGCTCCAAACTGAAGTCTCCCTGAAAATCAACAGTGGATGAGCAGCAGGAAAACCCTAAACAGAGAGGATTTGTGCTGGACTGTTCTTGTACACCGCATAAAGCACTAAGAGCAAACATGGAGCAGCTTCAGTGTAGATTCTTAGTACAGCTCCATCTAGACACCAAAAAGGGAGACAATGTGTAGCCTGCATAATTAACTTGTAAACTGCCCAGAGAGTGCTTGAATCATTATGGGGCAGTATATAAGAAGCAAGCTTTGCTTTGCTATTTCCTTGTTTGTTATCCTGGTGCCTATACCTGTTGGATTGTATTTGCCACTCTTTTACAGTGGTGCCCACATAGGGACGTTCCAGGATTAACGTCGCTATCCGGAAACATCACTATACGGAATGTAAAGCCCCATAGGAACGCATTAAACTCTGTTTAATGCGTTCCTATGGGGCGAAAACTCACCGGTAAGCGAAGATTCCCCATCCGGCCACCATTTTCGCCGCCTCGGTAAGCAAGGGCAGGGCGCGAAAACGGAGCGGGCGGCCATTTTATTCTTCCAGCGGCCATTTTGGAACTGCCGATCAGCTGTTTTTAAAACATCGCAACGCGAAGATCGGTATGCGAAATGCATTAGCGATCGCAAAAAATGCGTCGCTATGCAGATTCGTCATTAAACGGTGCACTCGTTAAGCGAGGCACCACTGTATTTTTATATGTGGGATTCGTCGTTAAACGGTGCGCTCGTTACAATTTTTTTTGTTGTAGTAGTAGTTTTTCTTATATCTGCACACTGCCCTATAACAATGAAGGGCAGTTTTAAAATGTTTCCATCATTAAGTCAAGTGCCAGTCATTCCCACCCCAGCTCTGGCTGTGCATCTCACCGTACTACTCCGTGTATCCAAGTTGGGGAATTTCTTGTTGATATATTTGATGGAGGATTCCATGGTTTTCTCACTGAGGAAGGCTGGCTTGGTCCGGGAATCCATGCATGTCTGCAAAGATAACAAGAGCTGTGTTCACATTCCTTTATGCACATAAACTCATTGTATCACTTGGTGGACCTCTCACAACAGTTTCAAGCCCTACCTCATCTCTGGAGAATCTCTTCCCTCTTTTAGAAAGGAGAAACACGCATGCCATTAAAATAGGGAATGAGCCCTACAGAATTCCATGGCATCATTATTTCTGCCCTCCCTATAGTTAAACAAAAGAGTAAAACTGATGTGAATATCTGCTGCAACTCTCTTTTACAACCTGGCATGCTGCCTGGAGTAGGTTTGGTTGGGAGGGATCTTTCTGGGCTGAGGTGACTGTCAATCCATCCAGAACTAACCAATCATTACTTCCCTGTCTCTGAATTCAAAGAGAGCCCCACCTCTCTACTCAGTGCTTTTTTCCTCTCTCTAGTCTGTTGAAGTATTTTGCTGAAAGCAGTCGTGTTTGTCAGTTTGTTGCTTGATCTGTTCACAACTATAAGTAAATGGTTTTTATTCTTTCTACTATTAGATAAGTAAATAAAATGTTTTTTATTCTTTCTACTATTAGCACAGAGTGAGTTATTGAGACTGTAAGTGCCAGTTAATGAGAGAAAGGGGGTGGACTATTCTGGAGAACTTGAAGCTATTCTGCTCTGTGAAACCCTGCTTTTGCCACACAGAGGGATTTAACCAAAATTCAAAATAGTGAAACAAAATCTTGGTAGACCATAGACAAAAAGTAGCATTCCCCAGTATGACCTGATGCAGGCGAGAAAGCAACAAGCCTGTCAAGATAAGGTACACCTGAAGCATACAGTATGCCTGAGGTTGTCCTCTTAAACTTCTATAATGTCAAGATTTAGTTCAGTGATTCATCTCTGCTGTCAAGATAGGTCATATGAGTTACAAGTAACAACAGTACCTCAAACTAGTATCGTTGTTTCTATAATTATTAATTTTTTTAACAAAGATATAACTAATTACATTACAAAAATTCTCTAGTAGATGGTAAGCTGGGTAGAAATATTTGTGTAGCGAATTAACATTTTCTATTTATTTATTTATTTATTCATTCATTTATTCATTCATTCATTCATTCTATTTATATCCCGCCTATCTGGTCGTTATGACCACTCTAGGCGGCTCTAGTTATATGTCAATGTTACTTTTTAAAGCAGTTGTAGTCGTTCTTAGAGACATCATGAGCACAGTCGCTGAAGTTTATGCCATTCTTTTGTCAATCCTACAGCACAATTTTCAAAGCAACAAAAAGTGAAAAAATAAATCATGGCTGAGTACTACTTGTATTATTGAGATCCATCGTGGTGCAGTAGATCACAGCAGACTAGGACTCAGAAGACCTGGGTTCAGAAGACCTGGGTTCACAGCCATTGTAGCTCACTGATAGGGCAGTGGTAAACCACTTTGTGAGTATCACACATATGTCACAAAGCCTGTTGGGTGACTTGACAGCAACAACAAAACACATTTATTGAAGCAAAAAATATTATTTAAAAGGTGAAGTTTCAAGTCCTCCAAAGACTCTTCCCTCAGTCCTGGCTATAGTACTGGGAAAGAAACAGAAAAGTCCAAAACATTATCTGGCTGGACACTGAAGCCACAAGATCTGTACTTAAACTAAAATTCCAAGATGGAGACCACAAACTTGAAGAATCAGCTTGAACTGTGGCTATTTCAATGAGGACAGCAAGATGTTAAATCAGCTGAGGTCACCAGGGGTCTCAAACTCAATTTACAGTACCTGGGGGCCAGTGGAGGCAGAGTCTGGGTGAGGCTGGGCCGCATCAGATTTTCCACAAGAAAAGCTTTGTTAAAGCTTTTTATGTCTGAACAGGGAGGCTCTGTCTGCTGACTGGCTGTCGTTTATCCTCCCTCCTCCTCCTCCTCATGCCCTCAGCACCTCAGGTGAGAGCCCTGCCCTGCAGCAGGACAAACAGGGTTGACCCAAGAAAGCGGCTCCATTGCCCACTCAGGATGACCCACAGCCGCCGCAGCAGGACAAACAGGGTTGACCCAAGGAAATGGCTCCATTGCCCACTCAGGATGCCCACAGCCACCGATGCAGGAGCACCCTTTTGCTGTGGATGGGGCCCCAGGGTGACCAGCCTCTCCAGCGGATCAGGCCAGCTTGCCGAGGGAAAGTGTGCCAAAAGCCATTCACCACAGTCAGCAGACAGAGTCTCCCTGTTCAGACATACTATACCTGGGCGAGAATTCAATTCATTTTGTGTTACAAAATAAAGAGATTTGAGAAGACTGGAATTTTTTTAACAAAGCTTTTCTTGTGGAAAATCTGATGTGGCCCAGCCTCACCCAGACTCTGCCTCCAGCAGCCCCCAGGTAAATTGAGTTTGAGACCCCTGCTGTTTCTTGGTCGGTTCACTAAGAGACATTTATTGACAGCTATTGTAATCAAATTATATTGATTGTGGGTTTAATCTGGAATAATCCAAATGAAACATTCAATATGTCCTCCTTTGTCCTCCTTTTTGTCTTTCTATGTCCTCCTTTTAGTACCTGTGTATCTAGCAACCCTACCGATGCAGGAGCCGCTTCCTTCGCACCCTTTTGCTGTGGATGGGGCCCCAGGGTGACCAGCCTCTCCAGCGGATCAGGCCAGCTTGCCGAGGGAAAATGTGCCAAAAGCCATTCGCCACAGTCAGCGGACAGAGCCTCCCTGTTCAGACACACTATATCTGGGTGAGCATTCAAAAGCCGAGGACAGAGGCAAGGCAGAAGGGGAAAGGTGGCTGTCTTTGGCGATGGCCCGGCTTGTGCGTTGCTCGTCTGGCCGTGAGCAGAAACGGGAAAGGGATGGGTGAGAGGGAAGAGCACAAGTCCTCCTCCTTGTAGGGAACTTGCTTTTGTAAGGATTCCCATCTGCAATTTTTTGAGCCAGAAGTAAAACGAGTGCAGCGAACAAGCAAGGACGACAACCCGGAGAGAGCAAGATTTCCACCTATGGTGCTTCAGGGGGACAGGCGGGACCCAGCCCCTATGAGGCGGGGAGGAAGCCCCACACTTGCCAAGTAGGTGTTGCTGCTGCTGCTCCCGCTCCTTAAACTTTCATATTAAGGTGGGGGCCACAAACTATCTTCCCGCAGGCCGCAATTGGCCCCCAGGCTGCATGTTTGAGGCCCCTGCTCTAGATTGTGTTTCTTTTTAAATGGCAATGAATAATATAACAAGTTACTCCTTTTTTATAATATGTATAGTACGGAGTAATGGTAAGAAATGAGTTCTCTTTTCAGGTCTGTGTATACCAGATTGGTCACTGGAGGCCAGTTAAGTGCTCTGCCATTTACTGTTTGAGGAGCACAAATACATATAAGGAACAAGGATTCCAAGGAGACAGGACTTTGTTCTCTGTGAGTACCCTAAAGTTAAAAACCCACAATGAGTAGTTTCACAAGAGAGTCACATGGAACAGAAAATGAATATGAAGAAACAGGAAAATCTTCTGGGGAAAGGCCACTATGTTAGGTATTCCTCACTTCCTGAACCAATTAAAAGAGTTACACTGGGCAGGACTCTTCAATTTAGTTTACTTCAGGGACAGCAGAAACTTAGGAAGCTTCTGCCATAAGTGTTTTATTGACAAGTGGAGCCAGGACTCTTCAATTTAGTTTACTTCAGGGGCACAGAAACTTAGGAAGCTCTGTCATAAGTGTTTTTGACAAGTGGAGCACTGGACCATCAAGAAGGCTGACCACCGAAGAATTGATGCTTTTGAATTGTGGTGCTGGAGGAGGCTCTTGAGAGTCCCCTGGACTGCAAGGAGAACAGACCTATCCATTTTGAAGGAAATCAACCCTGAGTGCTCACTGGAAGGACAGATCCTGAAGCTGAGGCTCCAATACTTTGGCCATCTCATGGGAAGAGAAGACTCCCTGGAAAAGACCCTGATGTTGGGAAAGTGTGACGGCAAGAGGAGAAGGGGACGACAGAGGACAAGATGGCTGGACAGTGTCATCGAAGCTACCAACATGAATTTGACACAACTCCAGGAGGCAGTGGAAGGCAAGAGGGCCTGGCATGCTCTGGTCCATGGGGTCACGAAGAGTCAAACACGACTAAACAACAACAACAACAGCAAGCACTTCCACTAGGCACATCAGAGCGGTAGCCAGCCCCAGTGCTCTCCATCAGCACCTCCACCACAGGAAAACAGCTGCTTCTGGTGGCTCTTTGTTTGCTATCATGTTTTGATGGCCTCCAAAGCTTTAGCCTTCTCTTCACAACAACCTTGACAAGAAAACTTTACTCTCCTAAGCTTTTGGTGACAGCCCTACACTTGTCTCAATATTGACACACAATGGGTTACACAACACTGATGCAGAGATGGGGAGCAGTCCCTGCTGCAAACCCCCATGCCAACTGGTGGCTCTTTGTTTGCTATCATGTTTTGATGGCCTCCAAAGCTTTAGCCTTCTCTTCACAACAACCTTGACAAGAAAACTTTACTCTCCTAAGCTTTTGGTGACAGCCCTACACTTGTCTCAATATTGACACACAATGGGTTACACAACACTGATGCAGAGATGGGGAGCAGTCCCTGCTGCAAACCCCCATGACAACTCTGTCTTCACATTTACTCTGGCAACACAATTACAGGCCCCATAACGTCACAACATCAAGGGCATTTTTACTTGTTCCTCTGCTAAAATACCATCCTTTGCCAACAATGCCCTTCCAAACTCTGCCTAGGACAAACAGAACAGTCTCTGTGCACAAGAACAAATGGAGATCAATCCAACATCAGGAATAGCGATACACAAAAACATCTTTCAAAACATTTCTGTCTAGCTGGACACCAAATAAATGATTTGAAAGTCCCAGTTCTGGTAAAGAAACACTACAAAATAAGGCTTCAAAGGGAAATAGCTAAGGTACAGTATATAGAGAAAGATGCTAGAGACCCATTTGGAAGGACTGAGTATCAATCAAGGGCTCTTAAATAATCATTATCAAATGTGAAGTGCCACATATTCATAACCTATTCCTTTAATTTTGTTCCTTATCTTTATCCCCACCTGGCCATAGAACCATGTATAAATATGTCAGTCATAAAGTCTCACTTTGTTGTCTGAGGAAGTGGATATGGTCCACAAAAGCTCACATTAATATACAGTACTTAGTCTTTAAAGTGCCACAACATTTTTGCTGTTTCTGTTTATTTGTTTTGCTTTGCATTTTGTCTGATAGAAAGGGGGGAAGAGGGGGGAGGGAAGTGTTTGATCCCCATGATTTAAGGCAAGGAAGTGGCATTAGAAGGTAAAGAAAACTGGCATGACTTGATTGAAAAAGGAAAGGAGAATAAGTTATTGTTTTCTAGAACAGCAATACACAAAAATCAACAGAACCCACTAGATCCACAGGCACCAGCAAGGGCCTTCTCCTGTAACAATACATAAGCATTTACAAGGTAAACCATGAACTGTCCTTAGTTTTATGCACCTCTCCTCCCCCCTTTTTTTCTTTTTTTTTGTTTTGAGGGATCAAGCATAGACTTCACCCTCTCAGGAGGGGAGTTCTGCCCACTTGCTACTGAAGCGCCACCACTGCTACCACTTCCTCAAACTAAGAATAGTAAACTGAACTTCCGCTCTCTGGCTACCGACTTCCCAGGCCCTAATAGCTGCCTATCTCCTCTTGCCTCAAGCCAGCAGTGGAAACTGCTACCTCCCTCCCCACCAAATCCCATCATCTTCTACTCTGAGGTAGGCACAAGTCTGTTGTTTTGAGAAACCCAAAGATCAGCAGTGGAGTCCCACAAATGCCTACCTTCTTAATATTGTACATGCGGACGAGAACCCCCTTTCCTCTTTCATTAAGGATCGTCAGCTTCTCCGCAAACTTGTGCTGGTACACCGAGGTCAAAGACATCGCCCTAAATGCTTGTCAGTGTGCACCTTTGCTGATCCCTTGAAGGAAGAGCCTGGAAGCCCCAAGGGTCACAACCCGAGTCCCCAAAAAGGCAAAAGGCTTGGGGCACCACACATGAGCCACACCCAGAAGCACAAGGAGCGGCGCCTCTTCTGTGTCACTCTTTTGTCACCAAGTCTCCAGCTGCACACAGGCTTCACACCATCACTTCCCCCTTGAGCAGCGGTGAAGGCAGCTTCCCTTTCGGGGCTGGGACTTCCTGTGGCAAGGCTGCTTAATAAGCATGACAGCTCCATTGCAATGCCAAGCTTCTGTAGATCATGCTACTTTCAGTTTGTCGAAGCAAAACGGTATCCTACCAACTTCTCCATTGCTTCTGCTGAACTGCAGCTTTTATGGTATTACCATTGCTGCTTTGCTGGTGGGTAGGTCTCTGAGCACAACACAGAAATCCTGCAGGTCAATCTGCAACTCCAGGGCACAGGGACCCTCCACTTGCTTTGCCACAAAACCAAAACCCATGTGATCCTTGTCTATCATCTTCATTTCCTACACCTTGTATAAGAAGTTCAGGGCAGGGCACATAGAGTTAAAACACCTGGAAGCTTAAGCCGAGAAAGAAGGACTGGCTCATCACAGACATCATCTGAGCTTCAAAGCTGCAACCCCAAAAAATACACTTGGGGGCAAGCCCCATAGAACTCTGTACTCCCAAGCAAGTGACCATAAGCAAGCTAGAGTCAACTGTACAGGATTTGCTAAATTGCACAATATTACTTTCTATAATAAACACAGAAGTTAATGTTATAACAGGCCTGGTATAGCAGGCTTACTAGTCAGATCACAGGTTCGCACTGTCCCCACCCCCTGCCCAATCCTGAGATCTACCCACTGGAAGCAAATATAAAAGGCAAGTGCTTTTAAAATTAAAGCATTCTGAACCCACAGGTTTGTTTTGAGTATCAAAAATAAATAAAGTTTATGTGGTGCACACACAAGCTTTTTTCAGCAATATAAAATACAAGGAAGGGGGGGGAGTCATTATGTTTAAAAATGAAGATTCCAAAATCCTTCCTGATCTACTGTAAATCACCAAGGTATCTACCTGGAGAGAAACAGGCAGAAATATTTTAAGTTCCATGTAAGTTGCATGGACCCTGGAACAGAACAACAGATATACCTCAACTAGACTGTTGTGGGCTAATGATCAGACATAACCCGTCCAATATTCCTGAGGCCCAGCTGAGGCCCCATTCAGGAATCATCCATTTTACATGAACTTTTTTAAAAGGCTCACTCCTAGTTGTATGGAGATGGATAATACTTTTACTGGACTGTTACCAGCCAAATCTGAGTTCCTGTTCTCTGGTAAGGAATCAGGCATGGATGCAACCAAAGGCCCAATTTTATTGAATAGCAACAAAGAAAAGGTCAGCCGAGACGTCTCTTAAAAGCAGAGAAGATCCCAAAAATACAGTGTACATATCTTTTATAATGATGCAAACAAAGAGCCATAAAGTATTATAATTCTCCTAGTTATCTTTACCCAAAGTTTGGATCCTGCCGCCCATTGGGCAAATGATGCCAGCTACCTTAAATTATTGGTTACCCTATAGATATGCATATTGTGCCCCCATCTTCCCTTGACCTGTGCCCAAGATGCCCCTAAGTGTCTGAGGAAGAGAGTATCCATTTAGGTAGAAGGAGTAAAACTAAACACAGCCTAGCTCCCAATATTGAAAAATACAGCCTGTAAAAGGTCAACGAACTCTACCCAGCCACAAGGACCAGGGATCATTGCACACAAAAGACCAGCTAATGACACCCATCAATCACAGTAACAGATAATCTCTCCCTCCTTATCACAACAAAAAACAGACTGATCACCCTATCTCCTGAAAAATGACAAAAGCTGTTCCCACAGCTATAAATACTCAAGTATCCAACAAACAGCAACAGAGCATGGACAGAGTTCCTACTCCAGTCCTCTGAAGATGCCGGCCACAGAGACTGGTGAATTGTCAGGAAGAACAACCTTCAGAATACAGCCAAAGAGCCCGAAAAACCTACAACAACCATACCATCAGTATCCATTTCCCTTATCTATTGGCATATTTATATGTTTCTCTCCTGGGCCCTGATATATGACCTTCATTCTCTGTCTCCCCTGCTGGGATTGTTTCGACTATCATTGCTGGTTTCCTCCTGCCCACATTCCAAAGATGGGCCATCTGCTAGATCAAAGGCGGTTGGGCAAAGTGAAAGAGTTACATTGTAATTCTATATTATCTGTAAATGTTCCTAAACTAGGTGCGAATGCTGCTTTCCTCCTGCCCACATTCCAAAGATGGGCCATCTGCTAGATCAAAGGCGGTTGGGCAAAGTGAAAGAGTTACATTGTAATTCTATATTATCTGTAAATGTTCCTAAACTAGGTGCGAATGTCCCAGGCCTAGTTTCTCTGAGGCCTGTGTTTTCTCTGCTAGTTGTCCTATTAAAATCTAGTTTGATTCTGCTTCAGTATCAGGACCACCAACCCATTTTTAAAGTTTTTCAGAAATATTTCTGCACATCAGGATTATTCTTTAGGGTGGATTATAAAGAGGAAAAACTGGGAGAAGCAGAAAAGTTCACACTTATCAAAAGTCATTAGGAATTGTGAACTTTTTCACTTCTCCCTTAGTCCACACTATGCAATGTCCAGATTCATTAAGAGTTCTAAAGTTCCAAAGATCAATTTTCTATGCCTTTCAAATATTTCTGTGTGTGCGCACCCCCCCCAAACAAACACATATTTGTATATTGTATCCTTTTATTTGTTCAAATAATATGCAGAACATATAAGGAAAGCTGGATTAAGTTCAGAAGGAGTGAAATCTGTAGAAGAAACATCAATAATTTAAGATAAGCAGATTTTACCAGAAGGAAACAGCAATAACATGAATCAACCACTGATGAATGCAAAAGAATAAAGGGCAGAAACAAGGTAATAGTTGAACAATAGAAAGACAACAATCAGGATTGCAGAAGAGTTATATAACTTTAAAGCCGACAATGAAGAACTTGAAAGAGTTAAATATTTGGTTCAATTAGCAATTTGAACAGTGACTACAGCAAAGAAATCCGAAGACAATTGAAATTTGGAGAGGCAGCTGTGAAGGAACTGGAAATGATTCTCAAATGTTAGCAGGTGTCTCTGGAGACCAAAGCCCAAATCATACATGTTGTCATGTTCCTCATTAACATGCACAAATGTAAAAACCAAGATAGTGAAAAACACAGAGAAGAGGAAAATAATTTTAGTCCGAGGAGCCTTCATGCATACTATGAAGCACCAGAAAGAAGAATAAATGGGTTCTAGAACAAACCAAGCCTGAACTCTCCCTAGAAGCTAAAAAACTGAGAGTGCTTTACTTTGCCCATATAAGAAGGCAAGATTCACTACAACAAACAATGATGCTGAGAAGAGCAGAGGGCAAGACAGAATATTGAGTTACTCCATAAAGGAAGACAGAGCCTTCAGCATACAAGATTCAAGCCCAGCTGTTAATGATAGGACCTTTTAGAGGTCATTAATTGTTCAGTTGACAGATGCTGGAAATGACAAGACACCACATAAAAATAACAAATAAAGGCATTATCCAGCTCTGTTTTTCGGAGAAGATTAAGGGCACAGGGGCTAAGGACTGGCAGAGGAGACAGTAAGCCAGCTAAAGCTGTTCTGAATCCAAACTCTTCTCAACCATGTGTGTGTGTGTTTAGTCGTTTCCGACTCTTCGTGACCCCATGGACCAGAGCACGCCAGGCCCTCCTGTCTTCTACTGCCTCCCGGAGTTGTGTCAGGTTCATGTTGGTTGCTTCGCAGACACTGTCCAGCCATCTCATCCT